TGAACCAAACATGAACACAAACAATAAAGCTCGAACAAACATGAACCAAACTTGAACAAGCTGATATTAAATGAACACAAACATGAACACTCACATACTCGGCTCGACTCGGTTCGTTTGCAGCCCTACTTAGAAGTGATTTTTAGAGTGGAAATGTCAATAGTAATCACAAAGGGTAAAGATGCATATCAAACAATGGACGGTAAATTAATTTGGGAATTATTAAGGGTCTATTTGTGGTGATTGCAACTATCAGAAGAATTAGCTATAGAATATTATGGGGAAAGCAAAATTTTTAAAACTACTAGATGAATTATACTTTTTACCTTCTAAAAAAGCCACACAACTTTTTATAACTATGCACTCTAACGTATTTACTTGTAAAAAAAATACTACTCATCAAAAATTTTCTGAAATGCAACAAGAATGTTGTAGCCAAATATGACTAGTAGTTTTCTGGAAAGGAAAACAATGAAAAAGTTGCTCCAAAGAAGCCCTAAATATTTTAGCAACTGAGAACGTGCATCTTGAAATGATGTATGAAGACCAAAGAGAAATTTGGCAATAAGCAAATCCCATTTTGTTTATTTCAATAGCAATGAATCTATATTGAAGTAGCTCCTCAAAACACAAGTGTAATACTCGAGAGAAAATAAATCAGAATAAATAGTATATGCCATGGAGGTTTTACTTTCCTGAAAATAGGTGGAGTGAGTAAATACCACATCACCTTATCCATCTTTTGAAGCATAAAAATAAATACAATAAAGGGTTCAAGAAAATTGAGGATCTATGTGAGAGAATATAATCAAAAATTTATCATTTAACCCATTTATTTCGAGAGGAGAGTTAAGATAACTAAGTATCTCACAATATCCCAGGAGGATAGAAAAACGTATGAGACCACAAAAGAAAGTTGATACTATTAAGTTTGATATAAGTGCTCATGATGGATACGACTTTTATCTTCAAGGAAGAAGTAAAGGAACAATTGATGAGCACCACAAAAAAAGAGAAAATGTTAGAGGGAGAAGTTCAAGCAATCATATAGCTAAGAGAAAAAGATGTAGGAGATGGCATGTCATATGAGATGGAGTGTAACAATGACATTAAAGGGTTGTTTGGTTGGTAGCAAAATAAATGTAACGTAAAGTAAATACCAACATTTTAATTTTTTCGTTGTTTGGTTTGACAAGGAGCAAAGAAAAATGAAATCGCAATGTATTCCGAACTCCCCGTCCATCTTGCAGGTAAAGTAAAATTGCTCAAATTCAAGCAAAAAAGGAATACAAGTGATGCGGGCGATAGAAATTCAGCTCTTTGACAATGACGATTTCACCCCTTCAATGACGTTCCCTTTCTGTTGGACTTAGCTCCTTCAACGACGTTTCTTGTTCCTTGTTCGACTTTGCCCCAACGACAACATTCCCTTCTCGTCGCATGAGGTAGAGTTTTGCTCGGTCGCTTCTTCAGCGGCTCCTTATTGTTCGACTTCGCCCCTTCGATAGTAATGTTCCCTTCGTCTAAGTGATCGATCTGCATGTTGTGAAGACCAGTAGCCGTTGAAGGTTCAGTCCTTTCCTCCAATTCAATTGAAATGTCCATCTCAATCATAGCTATCGCGTCATAATGGAGGTGTAGAACGTACCTATCGCACAAATGGGAGTTACGTCCCGAGCCAACAGCTTGTTCGAATCTTCCAAATCATTTGTTTATGCTTCATCGTGATGGATATCCCGAACTTCCTGCTTGTGAAGATCGACAGCAATGGCCAAAACCACATTAAAATTGGTCTAAGAATCCAAATATTTCTCCTGATTCATGTACGGTTGGAGATAGGGATTGATGTGTCGACTATTTCAAACCTCCCAGAGATGGAGTATCATCGAATCTGAGCAAAGACGGACAAAACTCACCATTCGAAACCTTGTTGATTGGGGCATTAACATTCTTGACATCAATTACGGATGGCTGCAAGGTATGCAGCTCCGTGTGGGAACCTAGAGCCGCAAGATGGTAGGACCAACTCGCGCGGGAACCTGGAGCCACAAGGTTTGTCTTCTGTGTTTGATCAGTTGGGGGACTTCAATATGGCAAATAAATTCATTTTAGGAATAGGCACAGTAGATGCTCGATTGAATGTCTAATGTAGAACTAAATGAGTAGATAATTATGCAATGTTGAAATTAAAGGCCTTTTAAATTAGTGCAATAATAATTAAATTTATTTTTAGCGATTTAAACAAATTTTGAAAATAAGAAAGAGGTGATTTAAGCTTAGGCCAAATTACACAATAAGAGTTAGAATCATGAATAATCAGTTTCAATCAAGCTTAGCATAGCATGGGGGAATTTCAAAGGAAATCTCTAAATTAACATTTAGACTAGTCACTAATTGGATCCACTCACTCTCTTGATGTTTGGTTAAGCGGAGACAAATTGCACAACCTTTATGATGCCACAATTGAGAAAAAACTTCAGAAGAAATATGATTAGGAGAAGAGTTTACCTTCGTCCGGAGTACTGGAACTTCTAGATAGCAAATGACAACCTTTGGACAGCAGAACGACAGTTGCTTAAATTTCAAGACAGCAAGCTCACTTGCTCAGAAAATCTGGACAGCAGACACGGGGAGGCTTTGGACAGCAATCGGAGGGGTTGAAGCAGTGGCATGATGTGGGCTCCGAAAATTCGGCCCCGGCCTCCCCGCTCGCTCGCGCTTTCTTTTTATTCGGCGAGGGAGTTTTAACTGAATAAGTTCCGAGGTAAATTTTGGAAGGCAGATGGGTTTGTAGATAAGATACTACCCAGAGATTTCGCCCTCATTTTGTGAGGACTTTATGATCTGAGTTCTGGTTTCCTATAGGCGCAAGCCCCTATAGTTAATTACCCCTCCCGATCACGAGAGAGAACTTTCGATTAAGGCTAGTCGTCAATCAGATATGTAGAAATACGTGTTATCTGGCATATAGTAGCAGCATGGGTATGAAATTTTGGAAATTGGGTTTGGATTTGAGTATTTGGAAAGGTTTGAAAAGTTTGATATTTAAAATATGAAATTTCACCACCAAGCACTTAAAAGCGAATGGTGGGGGGATGGATGATAGACCCGATCAAGATCCCATGGTTCCGTCATCCCGGGCCATCGTGGTCCCTGGTCTACTTAGTCA